AGTGAGCCCAGGTTGGCACCATTTCCCTTGGGTGAGTGCATGGGAGCTGCCCCAGCCCTCTGGCTGAGGCGTGGAAGTGGGTGCATGCTCCTCTTTCCGTAGAACAAAGGCTCTCTCATGTCCTGGGGACCCACCAGCTCTCAGGAGTCTTTAAGGAACAAATGCCTACCATGCAAGCTTAGTTTGTGCATTTATTTTTTTCAGGAAAATTCCTTTTAACCTCTGGATTTGTGAAGTACTGAGAAGTGTGTGTTAAACAGGAAAGGTTCTCCATGCCTCATGGGTAAATTCTTTAGCTCCCCTGCATCCTAGGGCATCAGGTGCCTTGGGATGTCATAAAACTCCTCTGAGGTCAAGTGCATGGGGCCAGCAGTGCAGCGGACACAGGGAGGCAGCCTTGTGTCCCTGCAGGGGCCCTGGGTGAGCACCTAGGCAAGAGATTAAGGTGCCAGCTCCAGCACTTCTGGCTGTGGGGAGGACAGGGCCTTTTCCAAGCACTGTCTGGATGACAGGATCTGGGTAAAAGGCCCTACAGGCACCACTTGTTTTAACCCTCACTGCAGCCGTCTAAAGGAGGCAGATGAGGACACTGATCTTTAAAGAGGTTGTGGACAGACATGCTGAATTGTCCAACCGATGACCCTCAAGTTGCCTGGCAGCTTCCTGCTTGCTATCGCCAAGTCCTGGGCAACTGGCATTCCCAGCCCTCCCTGAACAACCCACATCTGTGCTCAGACTTCCCTGCACCCCTGCATGAGAAGGGCACCCTTAAGGCTCCCTTTATACCCAGTAAAAATGGAGAGCAACAGGGAACAGGACCCCTCCCCTTGATCACACGCATGGCCCGCCCTGCTGTGCAGTGGTCTAGGCTGGACGTTGAGAGAGTGCGGGACAGACACAGGCACCTGCTGACCCTCCTGCCCGTGAGGTGCAGCCTGCCCCAGGCGACACTATGTGGCTGCCCGTGCCCCTCAGCATAACCGGGCTCAAGCACTGTTCCCAAGGTCACATAGCTAGCAAGGGGCTGGGCCAGGATTTGAATGAGGCCAAGTGATTCCAGAACCCGTGTGTGCCAAACCACTGCATTCTCCCCTAGCACCGTTTCTTCTTCCCAAACACCCTGAATAACCCTTGCCTTGGCCCTCTCACCAGGCTTCTGGGAAGGTCAAATGAGATAATTCATGCAAAAGCACTTTGTAAGTGACAACTACTCTGCTTCCTGGTTTAATAACCCTCCCCAACCCACTCACACCTCTTTATTTTCAAATTCCTTAGTGAAGGGTTGGTTGTGTTGTCTTGATTTGGGGCAGTAATGATTTCTGAAAAGCAAAGTTATTGATATGTGCAAGTTCAAAGCCCTTTGGGGGGGTGCATTTCAACATGGTATGGTGGTGGGGACATAGAAGGCTGGTAGGATCTCCAGTTTCTAGTTTGTCTCCCTTCCTCCCTCCCTCTCTCCTTTTCTTCCTTCATTCTTTCTTTAATTTCTTTCTTCCAGCAAATATTTATGAAGCGGGCACCATGCTGAGCCATCATAGTCCAGGGCTCTGTTCTGGGCACTGGGCAGCCTGCAGTGACTGGAGCAAATCAAGCAGCTCCTCCCAGAGGCTGGGAGAAGGGTGCAAGGTGAGTGGGTGGGGAGGACAGCCCCGATCTGGTCTTTTGTGTAGAAATCTGAAATGTTGGTGTAATCTATTATTTTTCCCAGTTATTCTAAATGTAGAACTCTGTGCGGAGATGAGATAAGATAGAAAGGTGAGGGATGAGGAGGAAGAGGGTAACAGAAGGTCACAAACAGCTCCTCCTGAAAAGTCACTTGGTTGGCTCATTGAGCTGGGCTTTGGGGTTTTTTTAAAGGTCAGAGCTAGATCCTTAAGTCCAGTGCCACCCAATACTTGCACCAAGTGGCCCCAGAGGCAGAGGAGAGTGAATCACTGTCCCTGAAGGAGACTCAGACTGAGCCTGAGGCTGCCAGATACAAGAGAGATTTCTTTGAAGTATCTTTTGTGGCTTAAAAATTAATGTAATTTTTTTTTTTTTTTTTTTGAGACACAGTCTCGCTCTGTTGCCCGGGCTAGAGTGCCGTGGTGTCATCCTAGCTCACAGCAACCTCCAACTCCTGGGCTCAAGCGATCCTCCTGCCTCAGCCTCCCAAGTAGCTGGGACTACAGGCATGCGCCACCATGCCCAGCTAATTTTTTCTATATATTTTCAGTTGTCCAGCTCATTTCTTTCTATTTTTAGTAGAGACGGAGTCTCGCTCTTGCTCAGGCTGGTCTCGAACTCCTGACCTCAAACAATCCGCCCACCTCAGCCTCCCAGGGTTCTGGGATTACAGGCGTGAGCCACCGCGCCTGGCCAAAAATTAATGTAATTTTGGCATGCTTTTCATAACATAGCTGTTTGTTTTAATATAAAAACTGTCCCCCCGAGACCACACATACTGTATGATTCTGTTCATTTGGAAGGTTCAAAATAGGCAAATCTATGGGGACAGAAAGTAGACTGGTGGTTGCCAGGGGCGGGGAGGGCTGGGGATGGCAGACCATGGTCATAGCAGACAGGGTTCTCTTTTTTGGGGGTGACAAAAATAATTTAACATTGATTGTGGTAATGATGGCACAACTCTGTGAATATACTAAAAACCACTGAAATGTACACTTTAAACGGGTGGATTGTATGGGGTGTGAATTATATCCCATAAAGCTGTTTAAGAAAATGAAAAACATTCCTTCCAATCTTCAAGTAAAATTGGCATCCCAGGAAGGTGAGTGATTTGCAGTGTTTCATCACTAAGCTGGGGTTAAATGCACCCATCTGAAAGGCAAGATTCTGGTTCAACACCACTAATTTACAGATTTATGGGAACCCTGAGATGGTGACTTGCCCAAGACCACCCAAGTAGGGAGGACAGCCAGGTGTCCTGAGTCCCAGTTCAGGACAACAAGGTGAACCTCCACGGGTACCCTGTACTGGACTTGGGTTCACCTTGTTTCATTTTCCTAAATCATTTATGTACCAAGTTGGTTCAGCCACGTGTGTTCCTTGGCCCATGTCATTAGCAATCTTCTATGGGCTTTCTCTGGCTTTCCACACCCAAGATGTCCCCAAACAAGTGACTGTGTCTGCAGATCCCTCACGCCCACCTTCCACGGGGGCTGGCGGGAGTGGCAGGAGGAGGTGGGCCCCACCCATTCTTGCCTTGGGCCCTACTGAGCCGAAGGCCAGCTCTGCCTTCCAGAAGCTGTGGGAGTGAGATCCGCTATCTGTTTAATCACGGAAGAACCAGTGGTATCTGGATGGAATCTCGGCCAGCACACTTTCATCCTAGCTTGCCCAGCATTGGGCAAGCCGTGAAAGTGAACTGTTGGGATTAAACTCGAGGATGGCTCGTGTAGTAACCTGCAGCCCCATGGCCTCTCCTTCTGCAGATGACTTCACGCCAGGCATCCACGGGCGTGTCCAGAGAATGGCCCCTTCCTGCCAACCTGGACCTTCTAAGTATGAAAGGCTCAGATGGCCTCTGGTAACCTCAGACCTCCTGTGTGTTCTGTATGGTTCTAGCATCCAGTCTTTCATGAGATCTTCACAAGATCCTGGGAAGTAGACAAGGCGGACAATACTGACTTTCATTTTCCAGATGTGGAAGCCAAGACTTAAAGAATGTAAGTTATTTGCCCAAGATTTTTCAGCCAGCAAATGAAGAAGCTGTGTCTGCTCCACACCTCTCCACCCAGCTATTTCCACCATGCCCTGGGCTCAGATTTTAGCAGCAGCCCATGGAGAATAGTCCAGAAGGTTGCCTGTGGCCTCAAAGGACAGTGAGAACATTAACCACCATCTATTGCATTTGAAGACCACCTCCAGAATAATGTCATTTTAAATCCACGCCCAGGGCTGAACTTGGTGTGAAAAGATGGGAGCGACAGCAGTCCTAAGTGTACTGAGCAGTATTTCCTAATAACTCACTCTCTTCCCTCCTCCTTCTATTGAAAGTGAGTGGTTAGGGATGAATGGTCATAGGCACAGATGGCAGCGTGAGCTATTTCACTGAGGAGGTAGGTGTTTAACTACCACCTGTCCAGGAGATGGGCGACACGTCCCGGAAATGACCCTAACAGGGAACTCTTTTTAAAAATTTTATTCGTTTATTTATTTTGAGACAGGGTCTCGCTATGTTGCCCACATGGTCTCTAACTCCTGGGCTTAAGTGATCCTCCCACCTCTGCTTCCCGAGTAGCTGGGACTGCAGGCGCTCACCGCCACGCCCAGCGACAGGAGCTCTTCCTGACAGGGCCCAGGGAAGGAAACCTGGAGATGTGGGGCAGGGCTGCCTCGGTCCCGTTGCATGTCCCGGGCGTTCAGCCGCTCGCTCTCCGCCTTCCTGAAGGGGAACTGCCCTCTAGGGAGACGTTCCCTGCCTGGGGTCTCCTTATGCCAGGGACCAGGTTACCCTGAAAACAGGAAGATTGTCATTAACAACAGTAGTGTGTTCAGTGTTCGCTTCTTCAGAACCACGGCTGTGTGCAAGGATGATTTAGTTACAGTCAAAACCCCAGCATTTGCAGAATCTGTCACAGAGGGAGATGTCAGGTGGGAGAAAGCTGTTGGGGACACAGTTGCAGAAGATGAAGTGGTTTGTGAGATTGAAACTGACACGACATCCGTGCAGGTTCCATCACCAGCAAATGGCGTGATTGAAGCTCTTTTGGTACCCGATGGGGGAAAAGTCGAAGGAGGCACTCCTCTTTTCACGCTCAGGAAAACTGGTGCTGCTCCTGCTAAGGCCAAGCCAGCTGAAGCTCCTGCTGCCACAGCCCCAAAAGCAGAGCCTACGGCATCAGCAGTTCCTCCTTCCCCTGAAGCACCCATACCCACTCAGATGCCACCAGTGCCCTCGCCTTAACAACCTGCTTCTAGCAAACCAGTGTCTGCAGTAAAACCCACTGCTGCCCCTCCACTAGCTGAGCCAGGAGCTGGCAAAGGTCTGCGTTCAGAACATCAGGAGAAAATGAACAGGATGCGACAGCGCATTGCTCAGCGTCTGAAGGAGGCCCAGAATACTTGTGCAACGCTGACCACTTTCAATGAGATTGACATGAGTAACATCCAAGAGATGAGGGCTCGGCACAAAGATGCTTTTCTGAAGAAACATAACCTCAAATTAGGCTTCATATCAGCATTTGTGAAGGCTTCAGCCTTTGCCTTGCAGGAGCAGCCTGTTGTAAATGCAGTGATTGACGATACAACCAAAGAAGTGGTGTATAGGGATTATATTGACATCAGTGTTGCAGTGGCCACCCCACAGGGTCTGGTGGTTCCTGTCATCAGGAATGTAGAAGCTATGAATTATGCAGATATTGAACAGACCATCCGTGAACTGGGAGAGAAGGCCCGAAAGAGTGAACTTGCCATTGAAGATATGGACGGTGGTACTTTCACCATTAGCAATGGAGGCGTGTTTGGCTCACTCTTTGGAACACCCATTATCAACCCCCCCTCAGTCTGCCATCCTGGGCGTGCATGCCATCTTTGACAGGCCAGTGGCCGTGGGAGGCAAGGTGGAGGTTCGGCCCATGATGTACGTGGCATTGACTTATGATCACCGGCTGATTGATGGCAGAGAGGCCATGACTTTCCTCCGCAAAATCAAGGCAGCGGTAGAGGATCCCAGAGTCCTCCTCCTGGACCTTTAGGAGGAAGTCACATGCCCTACAAATCGATCATGCGGGAACTGAAAACCAGTCTTCTCCCTGTCCCCTCACGGGTCCCAGGTTAGCCTGGTGACAGGCAGGCATATGCTGTTGGCCTCAAGCAAGGAAGCAGGGCACTATCTAACCAGCAGTTGAAGGTCTTTCCTTGGTGCTCCTGCCAGGCGCTCTCCCTCTCTCTACCCATCTCTTACCCACAAATATCTTATTTCCTTGGGCTTGAGAGAGAGAGAGCGCCTTAATGGATGCTCATTATATTCCTGCCTTTCTTCAATCAGCACTCTGCAAAGGTGATTTTGCTTCTACCCAGTACCAGTACACTATAGGGAAACCACCGGGGCTATGTGATTATGTTTCTATCTTTTGAAAGTCTGCTCTCCAGAGATGTCTAGGAGGATGCTGTGCCTCCCAAGCTCACAGCAGCCTGTGTCCTGGCTGTGCACGTTCTCGCTTGACTCTACCTGTGTGGAGGTATTAAACACAGGTGAAGAGGAAAAAAAAAAAAAAAAAGCCTGACTTTCCCTGTCAGGCATGATCACCTGCCCACTGATTTGAATTCAAACATCTTACTATCTTTTAATAAGATTCATAAGATTAAATTAAAAATTATCTGCTTGTCTAGTATTTTTAAAGTGCTTTTAAAAATCTGCAGAACCCTTTATTCAAAAGAAATAAAAATCCATAAATCTAAGAAAAGCAGAACTGAAAAAAAAAGAGCTTCCTGGAGGATGAACTACCCAGAGTCTCAACCCCTAATAGTTCTGGCAGCCCTTGAAAATTCTAGAATTTCTCTGAAAACTACTGATTTAGTCTCTCATTTCCCACGTGAGGAAATGAAATAGAATAATGGTAATCCTGGTTATATTTTATTGAGGTCTTATTATGTATTCATCTTTTTATTTTCCCAACAGCCCTGTAAAATGAGTGTGATTTTCTTGGATTATTGGAAGAGGGATGTGAGACTCAGGAAGGTTAAGGAACTTTCTCCAAGTCACCCAGGGAATGTGTGCAGGGACAAGGGCCATATATACCTAGGACCGTCTGGCTGCAAAGCCAACACTGGACGAAGTCCTCAGAAACAGAGTTCCCACCAGACCTGGATTCTGTAGGAACAACGGCTTAATGGAAACTCAATGTAGATTTGTTTTTCAACCTCTAAAAAGGCCACCTTTCAACGACACCTACTTTGAACAGCAGAAGGCCTTGTTTTGGTGAAATTCGATGGGATATGTGGCTTTTGATGTTCTAGAGGAGATGTTGGCAGTTTACCCATGACACAGAAGAAATTCAGGCCAAGTCCCCAAAGTCACTCTGAAGCTATGGCGGCAAGGACGAGGTGCCTGCATCCCTGATACAGGATCGTGCAGTGGCTGAGAAGGACTCCTACCTGGCAGGTGGCACGCAGACAGGAAAGTCAGCATCGTAAAAAGTCAGGAACTTTGGAAGCATCTGGTACAATGTCTTTGTTTTACAAATGAAAGAAACTGTAGGATGGCATGGCAGAAAAAGGAGGAGGAGGAGGCGACCATGTCCCAGTGAAACCAGAAGCCCCTGCAGCGTGGCAGCAGTTGTGGCTAACAGCACCCACTTTGGGGAGAGCGCCGGTCACCGCGACCACAGCTCGTGCATCCAGCAGCTGCCAACGAGAACTTACGGCACGCCAAGCACGTGCTGGGGCTGTGGGATTCACGTATCAACACAACATACAAAGACTCCTTCCCCAATGGAGCTCACAGCCTACTAAAGCGAGACGGGCATTACACAAGAATTATATAGTGGTCTTCAAAGTCTGTTGATTATGTAATCCAGGAGTGCAAAGTTTTTGACAGTGTTCCTCCAATGTAAGTCTACTTATTTCTGAATTATATGCATGTGCTTGTGTACTATTATATTATGGATATTTAAATCTATTCCCAAAATAGAAAATATTAAATA